ACTGTGTGTAATTAGATTGAAGACACATACGGTAGCCTCTAACCATATCAGAGGTTATATATTACAGGTTTCTGCCTTGAGTCATCAGATGATATGATTTAAAGTTCAAAGACTATAACGTACTAAGTCCTGAGTAGTCCACATAAGTATCTTTTACACGTTTTTCAAATTGCTGACTTAATTAGAAGAACTTCTGAATTTAAAGGATGCACTGCATTTTTAGGGGAGAAATTATCTAAATGATTTACTCCACACTGGTGAACCACTCCATTAGACTATTTACATTAATAGATAGTGTGTAGACGATTTCCAGGAGCCTACTGAACAAGCCTCAGTTGTATTCTTAGGACAGTCATACCGTTAAATGCATATCTTATTAAAATAGATAACAAATTACATGATACAAGAAAATAATACTGAGACATAAAAAATAATAAAAGAGTCACAGAATAAACTTAAGGGAAAGGGAAACAGGCAGTACATGAAAGGTATGAATCATTAACAAAGGGAAAACTAATCGAAAAGTAATACATTTAATAGATCGTTCTTTTGAGAAACAGCTAGGAAGACAGCATCCAGCAGATGAAACAATCTTGAAGAAAATGGAAAAAGCACAACACGGAATACGAACAAGACCCAGATATTGAATGTAGGGCATAATTGAAAGTGAATACATTCTTAAACACAATATTTTCAGAGTATGGATGAAATGGTTGACACACTAGGGATGCCTACATTATTTAATATATCCCTGCAATAACTAAATATCTGAACACCACAAAGACTGTGCATGAACTTGTGAAATTTGCTAGTTGTCCCTCAAAAACAGTTACTTTTAGAAGCAAATATTTAGCTTTTCCAGATGTCTTACTCTCCGTTTTCATTTCCCTCTCCATTTTTTTTTCCCCCACACTGGTTATGATGTATAACTCTTTCACATTTTAATATCAATCATGATCGTGATACGTTAAAACTTATATGACCATTTAATTAATTATACAAATGGGAATACTTTCCAGTGGAAAAAGTGTCATTATTCATATTGACATGAGGAGTATAGGTGAAAACTGGATGCAAATGGTTAGTGTATGTTAAAAAAGAACAAAGAAGGGTAAACTAGCTCAAAGCAATATCATAGCACTTCTTCACAATAGAGAAAAAACAAATGCAATACTGGCCTTTCTATTCATTTCACTTATGTATTTCCTAATGTGACATTAACAGTTTCCTCAAAAGATAGCTCTCAGACTGTCTGCAGGAACCTATTGGACATTCAGACCATACTGTCAAGCCAAAACATTAAATTATGCATTTTTTCTGGAGGAATTTTTTTCAGAAATTCCTTCTGTTTCTTAGGGTTTTTTTGTGTTCTGGTTGTATTTTCAGTAAAACTCTACACATTGTTTGCCATCTACTTTAAGCCCCTTCTAATAGGTTCACTTGATTTAATGTGATCTGTCCTCAGACTGTCTTTTGGTTTCCTTCTAGCACAAAAAGCAGGGTGTGTTTTAAAAATGTTGCTAATGTATATGTTTAGAAGTGTATCCTCAAAGTCTCTACAGAGGTCTAGTTGAATCTTAGCCACAGGGAGACTCTTCGGATTCTGGTTTTAGTCCATTGTATAAAACTAAACCTTTGGTGTCCTTTGCATACCTTTAATTTCATCTGAATAGAGTTCTTCTGGTAATGTTCCCTCCTGTTATGTTTCTATCGCAGGGGAAGGGAAACCACAGCTTTAAACAAAGACAACCGAAAGAATGCAAACTGGATTTATCCGAGATATTTGACTTTTAAAAATCTCAATAAAGTTTTCCAGTTTTCTCCAAAGAAGTATCACACGCCTGTTGTTCATTTATTCTCACATATTAGACAGTATTGAACATTTTGGCCGGGTGCAGTGGCTCATTCCTGTAATCCAAGCACATTGGGATGCTGAGGCAGGAAGATTGCTTGAGCTTGGGAGATTGAGACATGCTTGGGCAACATGGCAAAACCCCCTCTCTACAAAAATAGATGAATGAATGCATGAATATATGCACATATGTATGTAGGTGTAGTCCCAGCTACTCTGGAGGCTGAGGTGGGAGGATCCCTTGAGCCAAGGAGGTCGAGGATGTAGGTAGTCATGTTCACGCCACTGCAGCTCCAGCCTGGGTGAATGCGACTCTGTCTGAATAAAATATAGTATCATTTTTGCAACTCTGCATTCTAATTGAGCTGGTATGCACATGTGTGATATTGTGAATATATATATTTGGTCCTGGACCCTGCTTACTGTCATACAACTCCTACAGGTTTTGGAATCTCCACATAGTGATGTCTTTTTGTATGCTAGTGAGTTGACCATTTGCTGGCAGCTCCTAGGTAGCTCTAGGATGGCGGATTAGAGGGTTGGGACTTTTCAGCCACATCCCCAACCTTCAGGACAGGGAGAGGGGCTGAAGGTTAAGTTGATTACCAACGGCGGGCCAACAGTTTAGTCAGTCATGCCTATATGATGAAAACCTCCATCAAAACCCAAAAGGACAGGGTTCAGAGAGCTTCTTGCCTAGCTGAACACATGGAGAGTGGCATGACCGTAGAGGCCACGGAAGCCCCCTGCCTCTTCCTTCTATTCCTTCCCCTACGTATCTCTTTATCTGCATCCTTTGTTAGGATATCCTATTTTCCACAAAATATGTGAGAATTCCCCGGGCTATCGAGCTGGATGAAAGAACTAGGGCCTAGGTGGAAGAAAGGGGAAAGCAACTAGGGCAACTTGCTGAAGCAAAATTACTTGGATCCTACCTACACTGTCTCCTTACACGCGATGGCATGACATAGCCATGGGATTCCATCCTGCCTCTTACACACTGGCCTTGAGATGGTGGGCAAGATACTTACATCCTGTGGGACAGTTTCCCCATTTTTAAAGTGAAATTAGAATATTTACACTAAATGCTTGCTATGAAGAATAAATGAAATAACAAGATGCAGGCATTACATTGCAGATAAATTTACTAGTTATCTTTCCTTAATCCCTTTAAAATTTCAAATATTTTCATTCCATTTTTCTTTACAACTACATCTCTAGTATGTGATAACTGCTTTGGAATTTCAAGTAGGAATATCAGTCTACCTTTTTAAATGCATTTGACTTCAGAAGGTGATTTCATGTAAATATGTAAGTTAAATAGCAGTGTAGCTGGCATCAGACACGGCATTGATTCTGAAGCTGATTTGTAAATAACCGAGGTGTGACAAGGCCAGCCCTATGTCAGTACTATGTGCTGAAAACTTGTTTGATGTGTGTGATGCCATGAAGAATAAGTCTATTCCAGTCAGTCAACACCACACAACTCAATATCACAGTGTGTCAAGAGCTCAGGCAGTCCCTAAGCAGCCCTATGGTGGCTAACGGGGCCACAAGGATCACCAGTGCAGTTGTTATTTTGGCTTGTCATATATTCATCAATTTGGCGGGTAAGGAGACAATGAGCCCAAATGAATCAAAGTGGTTGATTTACTTGCAGACTCAGCAAAAGCAAGATTAGCATTGTGTCAGCACTGTGTCCCTAGTCCCAGGGTACCACACTGAATTGGAGAAACTCAGTGACCGTACAGATGGTGGGTCTCTCTGCCTGTGAGGAGCCCACAGTCATACCCTAAGGCCAATTTTGAAACCACACTGAATCCTGAACCCAAGATCACACCTTACCGAGCTGCGACTATGGGACAGCAGGGGTGACCCAGCTCCCGAACATCTCGCACAGAACACCTTAGGGATGTCATTCATGCTTGCGAAGAGGAGGAACCTGTGTCAGTGACTACCCTGAACTGACTTGCCTGCTGACAGCTCCCCTAAACCAAAGATGCAAATCAGTTGTTCAGACTGAACGGGGAACCCTAGAGGGAAAGGTTTCTTTGTGGGATGGCACAATGGAGGCCTTGGCCAGCTTCTGCCTGATGACTGTATGTCCTGCTGGGGGTGTCCTAACAAGGGTAAAGTCTTGTAGTCCAGGGGTATCACCTGTATCACCTGTGCCCTCTGGGATTGTTCTTACCTGTGTGCCCTGAATATCCCATCACTGCCTCATCCCTGGAAGGCGTGCACATCAACTTCAGCTTCCTGGCCATAGCTGTGCTGAGCCTGAAATACTGGCTTGAGTTGGATAAAAATGGTTAATACAGAATGTTAGTTAGGAAGTCACCTGCCTTTGTCAGATAGACCTTCAGCATTAATAGGATTCGTATAAGATGAATGTGATGGGAAATTTGATGTGTCAACTTTGCTACGCCATGATGCATGAGAAATGTTCACTTTGACCAGGGTAGATGTCTCCGTGAAGGGTTTTCTTTACGTGAAAACTAGCATTTAAATCAGCAGACTTTTGGTAAACCTAATTGCCCTCCCCAATGTGGGTGGGCCTCATCCAGTTCCTTGAAGGCCTTCAGAGAAACAGACTGGGGTCCTCCACAAGATGAAGAAATTCTGCCTCCACACTGCCCTTGGATTTGACCTTTCATATCACCTCTTCCCCAGGTCTCCAGCCTGACATCCTGCTCCGTGAGATTTGGACTTGCCAGTCGCAACACTTCCATGGGCTAGGTCTTCAAACTCAGTCTCTCTCTCTCTCTCTTTCTCTCTCCACCCACCCACACACACGTGTGCACGCATACACACACACACACACACACACACACACACCGAGGAACCCTAACCAATAGGCTGCTTACGTCTGGGACCCTTAGGGCGTAACTGAGATCAGTACTGCAGGTTGGTGTCACTCTGCTGCAGGGCTCCTCAAGCAGAGGCCAGTGGCGTTCCCCTCCCACCCTCTGCAGACGGACATCCACGTGGCTCATCACTGTGACTCAGGGTTTGGTCATCCAACCATGTAGCGATCACTACAATTCCACAAGTGTTCCCTGCCCTCCTTCTGCCTGTGAGGTCCTCTGAGATATTTTTAAGTCAAATGTCTAATACAAAACCAGTTTGCGTTCTTTCAGCTTGTATTCATTTAAACCTGTGGTTGCCTTTCACCTATAATAGAAGAACAACATTACTAGCAGAACTGTATTTAGGTGACATTAAAGGTATGCAAAGGACACCAGTGTTTTAGTTGCATACAGTAGACTAAAACCAGAAGCCTATGAGTCACCCATCGGCTTACATGCAGTTAGGCCTCTGTAGAGATTTTGAAGATAGATTTCCAAGCATATACATTATCAATACTTTTTAAACACATCCTGGTTTCCAGTGCTACAAGGAAACCAAAAGAGAGTTAGAGGTCAGAACACTTTAAATCAGGTGAACCTATTAAAAAGTGGTCAAAGCAGAAAGCAAACATTGTGTATACTTTTACTAAAAATATAACCAACACACAAAAAATGTTAAGAAACAAAAGGAATTTACAAAAAAAAATGTTTAATTTAATGCTTTGGCTTGAAACTACATTCTGGATGTCCAATAGACTCCTGGAAATAGTCTGAAAACTATCTTTTAAGAAAACATTTTATTGCATTTGTTTTTTATCTGTTGTATCTGAAGTGCAAAAATGTTTCTTTGGGCTAGTTTACCCTTCTGTGGTTTTTAAGGTACCGTAATCATTTTCCCCCAATTTTCACCTAAAGTGCTAATGTCAATATGAATACTGCCTTTTTACACTTGAAAGTATTCCCGTTTGTGTAATTAATTATATGGTCACACTAGTTTTAAGCTATCACTATCATTTCTGATGTCAAAACGTGAAACCGTTATATATCATGAACAGTGTGGCAAAAAAACAAAACAAAACAAAACAAAAAACGGAAATAGAGGGATAGGAAAGGAAAATGGAAAGGACAGTAAGACATCTGGAGAAGCCAACTATTTGTTTCTAAAAGTAAGTGTTTTTGAGGGACAACTAGCAAATTTCAGAAGTTCTTCCAGTCTTTGTGATGTTTAGGTATTCACATATTATAGGGATATATTAAATAATGTATATGTGCCTAGCATATCAACCATTTCTTCCATACACTGAAAATATTAGAGTATTCACTTTCAATTATAACCTATATTCAATATCTGTGTCTTGTTCATGTTCCATGTTGACCTTTTTCCATTTTCTCCGAGTGTGTAAACTACTGGATACTCTATTCATAACTATTTCCCCCCCAAAAAATCTTTTAAATTTGTTACTTTTGGATTCGTTTTCCTTTTACTAATGATTCGTATCTGTCTTTTATTCATTTCCTCTTTCCTTTTCCCTTAGGTTTATTCTATTGTTCTTTTATTATTTTTTATTCTTCTCCTTTATCATGTAATGTGTTATCTATGCATTTAAGACTATAATCTTCCTAAGAATACAGTTGAGGCTTCTTCAGTAGGCTCCTGGAAACAGACTGAAAAAGGTCTTTTTGTTTGTTTGTTTGTTTTTGTTTTGTTTTTTGAGACAGAGTCTCGCTCTGTCGCCCAGGCTGGAGTGCAGTGGCCTGATCTCGGCTCACTGCAAGCTCCGCCTCCCGGGTTCACGCCATTCTCCTGTCTCAGCCTCCCGAGTAGCTGGGACTACAGGCGCCCGCCACCTCGTCCGGCTAATTTTTTGTATTTTGTTTAGTAGAGATGGGATTTCACCGTATTAGCCAGGATGGTCTCAATCTCCTGACCTCGTGATCTGCCCGCCTCGGCCTTCCAAAGAAAACTGTCTTTGAAGGTAAATGGTCTAATGGAATGGTTCAGCAGTGTAGAGTACGAACATTTAGGTAATTTCTTCCCTAAATATGGAGTGCTCCCTTGAAATTCAGAAGCTCTTCTAATTAACAGTCAGCAATTTGGAAAATACGTGTAAAAGATACTTATGTCGACTACTCACGAATGAGGACGTTATAGTCTTTGAACTTTAAATCGCATCATCCGATGTCTCAAGGCAGAAACCTGTAATATGTAACCTATGATATGGTTAGAGGGGATTCTATCATATGTGTCTTCAATCTAATTACACACAGCAGCTCATGAAGACTGACAGAAGGGCAGGGGGCATGCTTAGCACAGGCATCTTACACCCACCTTGAGCATCACTGACCTACATGCATGCTGCCTACTTCATTGGTAACAGAAACCTGTCTGTCTCTTGCCATTTTATTATTCAGTCGTTCAAGGGTTCACTGCGGGAAGGATTTAAAATGCAATTATTCTTTAAGAACCAGAGAATTCAGAATTTAACAAAATCCAAGAACAGTCATTTAGGTCTCCATACGGGAAAACAAACATCAAGCAGGTTGCCCACTCATTTTCTTAGGAACCCTGAAATCTCAACTCAGATATTGTAACTGGAGTGAAACTGTTATGAAAAACAAATCATATCTTTGTATTCTATCCAACAGAACATGAAAATACAGAAATCAATCTTGAAACAGATTTTAATATATCTGATTTGCATTTACTATTTTCAATAGAAAAAGATGGATGTAGAATTTTTGGAATTCATCTGAAATCTCACAAATTATGTTAGATCTGGTACTAGAACCTCCTTCAGTACTCAGCATATTTCACACAAAGTGGTATTACAAATGCGTTATGTATTTGTTTAAAGCAGAGATTAGAAAAGAATCTGAAAACAGTTAGCTATTGGTTATAGTCACAAGTAAGAAGATGCTTTCATATTTGATGATTCAATACGGCTTTGACCCAATTTGTTTCGTATCTGATAGTGTTTAAGTCTTCCGGTCAGGTATTTGGGGTCTGAACAACTTTTCAAAGAAGGCCTGCATTTGAATTGTGTTTTTAAAGGGGCAGTAACGTTCTCTCTTTTTATTATCAAAAGTACAATATTGTGAAAAACAGAAAGCACGTAATTTTGCATCTTAATGGATAGCATACCTCCTTCTGGCATTTTAAATTGCTCTGCTTTTGGCAGAATTGTCCCCTGAACATCAGGACCATCTCCGCATTCATCCCCAGTCTTTGACTGAGACAGCTCCTGGAGATCAGCTTCCAGGTCAGGCACTAAAAAATACAGGGGTTCTTGATTGAAGCAGGCAAACAAGAAGGACAAATAAGGAAAAGATAGTACTCTTTTCCTCAGTGTTATGAAATAAAAGCCTGCAGACCAGTGTGGTAATAAATGTGATGTAAAGATGGCACACTTTTGTTTTCCTGTATTATGAATTCTTATCTTAAATGACAATCTGAGGATAAATCACACCACACCTACATTTCCCATACTTTACCATTGTGTATTATGAATAGTGAATATCGACTATCTAAGAAATCTGGAGTCTGCCACATGGATAGAATTTTAATCATAAATGAAATGTAATTTTCTGAAGGATTAGATCAATGTATTGGCCTGCCTAGGAGAAATCTTACAGTTGTGACACCCATCCCTTGTTGAGGTGACTTGAAAATTATTTAGATAAATTAACATTATGCTTGGGTCTAAGGGCCCTGTATGTAACTTTACATAAATGAATCACATTTAGAATAATGTACCAAAAATAACAGGAAAATCACTGTCTTCCAGTGAGGGTACAGGAAGTTGAGTGCAAAGAAATTAGTGGTCACTGTTGACAGTCATATTCTGCAAACCTCTTAACAGCGAATTGCTAAAATACTCCATGGCCCAAATTCTGCCAGTGTTGAACGCAAAAGTACTATCTAGTGAGTAAACAACTTCTGATTCAGGTTAAACTTATGGTACTTTTAGTTTTCTAATGATGAAAGTGCTTCTACAACTTTTAAAAGCCCCTTCAAAATCATGCTAATATAGCTACCTGTATGCCAGTGTTCTGAGTTATCCACCTTTTACCAAACATCCTGAAAAATTACCGATCAAAGGATACCATTCAAAGAGTGGCTGTCATTTATTGAGCTCTTTTCTGGAGTTTCTATTCTGCTTCGTTGAACTGTGTTTTGTCCTGAGCCAATACTAAACTACCTTAGGGTACACACACATTCAAATAATAAGTATCTTAAGCAAAACCACTGACCTTTTCTTATTACAACATGGATAACACAAACCTTGGGACAAAATATGAATTCTGTCTCCATGAGTACAAGGGTTCTTGGTAAACCTCCATTTCAGAGCCTCAGTTTTCTTATTAATAAAATGAGGCTAACGTCCTTATGCAAATGGGCTTTATTCAGGGTGTTATAAGGTAGGATGACTTGGCACTCCACATGCTGTTAAAGGGTGCTTACAGCACTATTGACACAATGCCTTAGAAGATCATACAGCAACATTCTAAGAAGAACAAATTAAACTAGTGAAATACTGCATATTTATGCATAAAGTTAAACTGCTTCATCTGATTTAGCAAGGACTGTATTTTCAAGCGTACAAAATATATTTCAAAGGTAAGAGAAGATTCATTATATCCAGGGACTGCATGAAGCTGTAAACTATACTCTTCAATTTTCCAGCCAACTTTCAGCAAATGTTTGCGATCCTTTCCTAATGTTTTCTTTCCTCCTGTTACTGGTCACGGCATAATGCATGATGCACACGTAGGCCTCCTCCCCGCATAGACATTCTTTCTTTCCCTTCCCAGCACCTCGAATATCAGCTGCACCCTGATCTTCTCTCTTCTGACCAGGTGTGGGATCCCGACTTTCAGTTGGTGGTTCCTCTTGTTGAGGCTCCTCATCACTGGGCTCCTGGGACCGTGGTTGTGTGTGTACAAATGAAAAGTTTTGGCTGGGCGCAGTGGCTCACGCTCAGCACTTTGGGAAGCCAAGGCGAGCAGATCACGAGGTCAAGAGTTCGAGACCAGCCTAGCCAACACGCTGAAACCCTGTCTGTACTAAGAATACAAAAATTAGCCAGGCATGGTGGCGCATGCCTGTAATCCCAGCTACTTGGGAGGCTGAGGCAGGAGAATCGCTTGAACCCCGGAGGCGGAGGTTGCAAGTGAGCCGAGATCACACCACTGCACTCCAGCCTGGGCGACAGAGCAAGATTCTGTCTCGGGAAGAAAAAAAAATTGTTATCAATACATGTCAACAATGCAAATAAACAGAATACATAGATATTTCTGATCATAAGTAAGTCTAAAGACATTTCTCCAACACTATTCATATACTTATTATTCATCAAGTTATTCTTCCCACAGAGAGGTTACTCTAAGACGGAGTTACCCTCAAGGGCTTTGGGAGGTGGTTTAATCTATGTTGGGATGGATGTGTGCAATCTCTTATGAATAAGCATACGGAGGAAGTCATGGGCAAAATCTGGGGAACACAAGGTCATCCATCCAGGCAAAACCAGAACGTAGGCTGGGCGCAGTGGCTCAGGCCTATAATCCCAGCACTTTGGGAGGCCGAGGCAGGTGGATTGCTTGAGCTCAGGGGTTCAAGAACAGCCTGGGCAACACGGTGAAACCCCGTCTCTACTAAAATACAAAAAGAAATCAGCTGGGCACGGCAGCGTGCACCTGTAGTCCCAGCTACTCGGGAGGCTCAGGCAGGAGAATTGCTTCAGCCCAGGAGACGGAGGTTGCAATGAGCCAAGCCTGGGTGACAGAGCAAGACTCCATCTCCAAAACACACACACACACACGCACACACAACACACACACACACACACACACACACACACAACACGTAATCCTCTTGGATCAGTCTTTCCTTCATGAGATGCCATGATCATTTTTTATCAGTTCAGAAGACCTTTAACAGTGTATGTATACTAGTTCAACAACACTATCACACACAAAACATTCTGCTAATAGAAAACAACGAATGTTAAAGCACTCACACATACTCCCGATCAGCTCAGGAGGTTGTAAACTTCGTCTTGGTCTAGGCCTACATGTTGATCTTCCTCGCCAAATTATATTTCACTCTGCAAAGAGAATACAGAATACTGTGATTGGGAAATGGCACTTGAGAGGATAGCTCTATTCGAGCACTTCCATGGCCAAATGTTAACTTGTCACTCTTTTGAAGTTTGGAAATACTTTGAAGGTAAGTCCCAGGGCAAGTATAAGTTTGTGTGTCTTCTGAATAGAATGCTTGCACAGTCACTTAAGGTGATCAAGCTAGCAAAGTAATGTCTTAAGGCTCCTGGCAAGAGACACTGGATATCCCTGATGTGGTTTGGTTTCACAACTGGAATCTCCATCATGGAGACGTGTAGGAAAATAGAGCTAGAGAATTAAACTGGGAGTGACCACAGTGTTTGTCACACACCCATTTCCTGGGCCCAGTTCCTCCCTAAAATCAAGTTTTGCTCGACCACAGAGTCCCATCCATTCGAACCTCCACGGTGGAGTTGGGAAGTTGCAACACAGCACTGGGTGCTCCTCACTGGACACCTGTTCCTGGCACTCTACAGACTTCGGGGCTGAGGTCACCAACCTGCAGCATTCCCAGTTCCCAGGCCCCTTCCTTACTGCCCACGCTGTCCATGCCTGGGTCCCCGCTGGGGAGTCTCCAATCTGTCCTCTGTCGGGGGTTTGAGGCATTTCTGGGACTCAGATACCTTCAACAGCACCCCCAGCACACACCCCATCGTACCCCAATCCCCTCCACGTCAAGGCCCTCCTTCCTCCTTAGTTGTGGCCCTGACAGAAAAGAAGGCCCATGGCTGCAGTGCCACATGTAAAGGATGAAGACCTCGAGGCCCTTCCCCTCTGAGTCTCCCTCCCACCGACGACCCTCCAGAAGCCCACTGGCTCCTCCTCACCCTCACTCACACTTCAACTCCCAGTTGGATTGGCCTGTGGACCTACCTGCTGTGTCTCAGTAGGAGAGAAAGAATCCAGACCTTAGGAACTTGACCTCACAGCTCGGAGGCATTCACCACGTGGATGAAGAGGTAGAGTAGAAGATGCCTGGTGAACATGCACACTGAGGTGCGCACCCAAAGATTTGAGCTCTCCTATCACCTCTGCCATGGGTCTCCAGCCTGACATCCTGCTCTGTGAGATTTGGACTTGCCAGTTGCAACACTTCCATGGGCTAGGTCTTCAAACTCAGTCTCTCTCTCTTTCTCTCTCCACCCACCCACACACACACATGTTCATGCACACACACTCCGAGGAACCCCAACCAATAGGCTGGTTACATTTGGGACCCTTGAAGGGCATCACTGAGATCAGTACTGCAGGTTGGTCTCACTCTGCTGCAGGGCTCCTAAGGCAGACGCCTGTGGTGTTCCCCTCCCACCCTCTGCACAGGGACATCCATGTGGCTCATCACTGTGACTTTGGGTTTGGTCATCCAACCATATAGAGATCACTACAATTCCATAGGTGTTCCCTGCCCTCCATCTGCCTGTGAGGTCCTTTGTTCCATCCTGAGGACACAGATGTCTACTGGGTATGTTTCCATTCTTCCAGGAAGGACCTGGGAGCCTGGCGAGGGTGATACATCTGCAACAGTGGTAACAGCAATGAGTATAGGCAGTATGTTCACCAACTCATGAGAGATCACACTACCAACATGTCCCACTTAAGATTCCCCATCAACTAACAGCTTATCCTGGAAGTTATCAGATTCATAGGTAAGTTGCATTCCCCTTATTCTATTTTCCCCAGGAATGCACACATGAAAAGCAAACTGATACTGGGATGTTGTATTGGAGTGCCATCCAAGAGTGGAATGCACTGCAGTGATGTGATTTCTGAAACAGTCAATAGGTCTTTTTTAAAATATATACCTTAAGTTCTAGGGTGCACGTGCACAAGGTGCAGGTTTGTTACATAGGTATACATGTTCCATGTTGGTTTGCTGCAGCCATCAACTCGTCTTTTACAGTAGGTATGTCTCCTAACACTATCCCTCCCCCAGCCCCGCACCCCCAAACCGGACCCAAAATGTGGAACCAAAAAACAGCCCGCATAGCCAAGACAATCCTAAGCCAAAAGAACAAAGCTGGAGGCATCACGCTACCTGACTTCAAACTATACTACAAGGCTACAGTAACCAAGACACCATCGTACTGGTACCAAAACAGAGATATAGACCAATGGAACAGAACAGAGGTCTTAGAAACAACCCCACACATCTACAACCATCTGATCTTTGACAAGCCTGACAAAAACAAGAAATGGGGAAAGGAATCCCTATTTAATAAATGGTCCTGGGAAAACTGGCTAGCCATATGTAAAAAGTCATAACTGGATCCCTTCCTTACACGTTATACAAAAATTAACTCACGATGGATTAAAGACTTAAATGTAAGACCTAAAACCATAAAAACCCTGGAAGAAAACCTAGGCAATACAATTCAGGACCTAGGCATGGGCAAAGACTTCATAACTAAAACACCAAAAGGAATGACAACAAAAGCCAAAATTGACAAATGGGATCTAAGTAAACTAAAGAGCTTCTGCAGAGCAAAAGAAACTATCATCAGAGTGAACAGGCAACCTACAGAATGGGAGAAAATTTTTGCAATCTACCCATCCGACAAAGGGCTAATATCCAGAATCTACAAAGAACTTAAATTTTAAAGCAAAAAACAAACGACCCCATCAAAAAGTGGGCAAAGGATATGAACAGACGCTTTTCAAAAGAAGACATTTATGCAGCCAACAGACGCATGAAAAAATGCTCATCATCACTGGCCATCAAAGAAATGCAAATCAAAACCACAATGAGATACCATCTCACACCAGTTAGAATGGCGATCATTAAAAAATCAGGAAACAACAGATGCTGGAGAGGATGTGGAGAAATAGGAATGCTTTTACACTGTTGGTGGGAGTATAAACTAGTTCAACCATTGTGGAAGACAGTGTGGCGATTCCTCAAGGATCTAGAACTAGAAATACCATTTGACCCAGCCATCCCATTACTGGGTATATACCCAAAGGATTATAAATCATGCTACTATAAAGACACATGCACACATATGTTTATTGTGGCACTAATCACAACAGCAAAGACTTGGAACCAACCCAAATGTCCATCAATGATAGACTGGATTAAGAAAATGTGGCACATATACACCATGAAATACTATGCAGCCATAAAATAAGTCTTTATACATTCCCAGATGGACTAACATACAGGTCTTCCTCAGTTTACAGGGAGTTACATGTATGGAAAATCCAGTTTATTGAAGACTCTAGAAAAAGGCACTTGCTTCCCTGTAACACTCAGTACCCAAATGCCAGTAGCCCCTACCACTCATTCCAACAACTGCGGCTGCCCTCAGAAATTTCCAAAATGACCCAAAGTGGGCAAAGATATTCTGGCTATAAACCCCAAGTTTAGGATTGAAAAGAAGTATCCTCAAACTTCTTACTGACATCCAAAGAATAGGAATGTTGCCGTTGGTACAGAGGAAATAGCAGGGTAGCAGGGAGAAGGACACAATTTTCCCCAGGAGGGCTTGCAGGGACCTTCTTCCTCTGTCCTGCTTTCTGTGATAAGAAAGTAGTTTGGGGATAGGTGGGGTGGTTCATGGCTCTAATCCCAGCACATTGGGAGGTCGAGGCGTGAGTATTGCTTGAACCTAGGAGTTTGTGATCAGCCTGGACAGCATAAGGACACCCCACCTCTACCAAAAAAAAAAAAAAAAAATTGGCCAGGGATGGTGGAACCTGCATGTTGTCCCAGCTACTTGGGAGGCTGAGATGGAAGGATCACTTGAGCCTGGGAGGTTAAGACTGCAGTGAGTCATGGTTTCTCTACTGCACCCCAGACTGAGCGACAGACCCCATCTGAAACAGCAACAAGTGCTTTAGGGCCAGCTGAGGTGTGCGGTGAAGCTTATCCCGGAAAAGATCCTGTTGCTAGGTAAGTTGGATTCCCCTCATTTTTTTCCCCAGGCACACAGAGCTACAGAGAAAACTGATACTGAATGTTGTGTCAGACTGGGATCCAAGAATGGAATGGTCTGCAGTGATGTGATTTTCCAAAGCAGTCAATAAGTCTTTCATAACTTCCCAGATGTAGCAACATACCAGCCTCCCTCAGTTTACAGGGAAGTGACATGTATGGAAAATCCAGTTTATTGAATGCTCTTGAAAAAGATGTTTGCATCCCTGTAATACTCAGTCCTCAAATGCCAGTAGCCCCTACCAATCATTCCAACAACCACAGCTGTACTCAGAAACGTCCAATATGTCCCAAAGTAGGCGATTATATTCTGGCTACAAACCACGAGTTTAGGATTGAAAAAAACTATCGTCACACTTCTTATTTACGTCAAAAGAGTAGGAATATTGAGGTCGGTACAAAGAAAATAACATGGCACCAAGCAGGAGGACATAATGTTCCCCAGAAGGGATTACAGGCACCTTCCTCCTCTGTCTTGCTGTGCTTTTTGTGATAAGAAAGTGGTTCAGGGATAGGCATGGTGGCTCACGCCAGCGCCTGGGGAACATAGGGACCCCACGTCTCGACAAAAAATTTTAAAACATCCAGGCATAATGGAGCATTCTTGGGACAGTTAGAGCAATGACTGTGTGAAGACATGCCCAGTTGTCAGGACAGTCCCTGACATATGTCAGTTTCCAATCAATTCTAGCTGTTACTGTTTTGCTGTTAATATTGTTGCTGTTCCCACATCTCCCTGGAGCATGTTCCGGAGATACAATGTCACGACTACCTTTGACCCCTTCGATGATCTTTTGATTATCACTTCATTTCTTCAGGGACTCAAGGACTGAGTCTGTGGGGCAGGAGGAGGTCATATTTTTATGAGCATAATGAATATTCAGCTCTCCTTACAGGATGTTATGGAGCCTAATTGTAATGCTGGAGTTTCATCATCATTAGGTTGTGCGAAAAATTTGAATGGAAATTTATCCAGGAAATCAAAACACTAATGACCTCTTCATGTGATTTGTATAATGCTTGGAAAAGTATCTAGTGACTGGATAAGGATAGCACATAAGTATGTAAATATTTAAAACATTATGAATTTTCTATTTTGTAATTTCTGTTTTTGTAGCCTGTCTTCGTTTTACATGATGCCATAGATTCTCCTACATTTTCTTCTAGAAATGTGATAACATTAGCTTTTACATTAAGTTCTATGATGCATTTTGAGTTAACTTTTGTAGATGGTGTGAGATAAAGGGTGAGGTTCATTGCTTGTGTGTCAATGTCCAATTGTTCCACCATCATTCTCTGAATACAACATCTTTTCCCACTAAATTATCTTGGCGCCTATGGAAAAAATCCACTTAATTTGACTGTATAGGTCTAGCTTTGGCCCCTTATTTGTTTTCTTATGCCAATATCACACTGTCCTGAATACCACAGTTATGAAATATGCCTTGAAAACAGGTAATGAGTCCTCCAATATTCTTTGTTCTTTATCAAATTGTTCCTACAAAGGATACAAACTCATCCTTTTTTATGGCTGCGTAGTATTCCATGGTGTATATGTGCCACATTTTCTAATCCAGTCTGTCACTGATAGACATTTGGGTTATTCAAGTCTTGCAATTGTGAATAGGCGCATAAATAACGGTGCATGTGTTTTATAGACATATTTAAATTTTGGTTAAAAAGTAATGGTGTGGTATATGGTATTAGTCTAGATTTGAGGAATGATATGTTTTCATAATGTTGAATAGTTTACAATCCACCAACATGTAAACAGTTCTATTTTCTCACCATCTTCAGTGTTGTTTCCTGATTTAATGATCGCCATTCTAACTGGTGAGGATGGTACTCATGTGGTTTGATTTGGGCATTTCTCTGATGGCAGTGAATGAGACATTTTTTAATGTGTCTGTTGGCTGATGAATGTCTTCTTTTGAGAGATGTCTGTTCATATCCTTTGCCATTTTTGTGAGCTTGTTGTTTTTTTCTTTTGT